ACTCTTAAAGCTTAAAGATTAAAGAGTCTAATATATATATACAAATTCATGCTCATCTTATCTGCCCAACCACCATGGTAAGAGTATGTAATGTAGATACCATTTTCGTTCACCTTCTACTTTCTTTATGTTAATATTTCTGTTTCTATGTTTCTCGTATATATACTATGTTTTAAAATATTTTTGTTTTGTATAATTCGGAAATCATTTTTATTTTCAAATTCTACAACCTATTTTTTTTTTAACTTTTATGTAATTTAAAAGTTGTTTTTTATTTTAAACTTTAGTTTATATAATATAAAAGTATTTTTGTTTTTTGCATAAAAACCATGGCATGTGGGCCAGTTTAGTTTCTTAACTACGGGGTTGTAGAAAAACAATGAAGGAAACGAATGCTCATATCCGTTTGTCATTAAACGGATTCTTATACCGTAAATGGATGTGCACGTCCGTTTTTTAAACAGAATTTTAAATTATAAAAACATAATATATCTATATATTATTAATATAATTAAACTAACTTCATAAATATATAAATAATGTAAAAATTAATAACTCTAAATTAATATTTTGACATTATAAAGTTATTGAGAATTCTTCAACGGATATGAAAATCCGTAAACGGATGTCAACATTATTAAAGAATAAATGGTGAAAAGTAAATTTTTTTAATCATCCAACTTTAATGTCAACTGAGGGTAGACTGGGGATATGGTAGTGCAGGAAGAAGGACGTAATGTCAACTGAGGGTAGATTGGGGATATGGTAGTGCAGGAAGAAGGACGTGGTAGTGCAGGAATAAACGCTCCAATTCATTTGGATTACAATAGACAAAAAAAAAATTCACACTTACATTTTTTTTATAAATCAAACACATTTTTACAAATTAAATTTGACATAACCTGTAATGAACAACGTAATCTAAAATTTGTTTATTTATTCTCTATACTATAATTATTTATTCGTCGTATATAACAAATTTCCATAACATGGATACATACATTGTTTATTCTTTACAAAAAAGAATACACTTTTGATTCCTTTAGAAATCTTCAACACTTTTATAATCTATACCTTGAAGGAAAGAAAAAGGGACCCACTTTAATGGAATATATTAGTTTTAAGAGGGCTAATAAATACAACAACACTTCTTTCGTTTAACTCTTCCATGCAACTATGGCTATAAATACAACTACACTTTTTCTCCTCATTCGATTGAAGTGAACAAAGTTGTAGTATCTAGATTGCTGTAGCCAGCTGAATTCAGCATAATGAAGGTCTCTTTAAAAAACCAAAGTTTTTAATTTCGAGCTTGGGTTAAATAAGGTTTGTTAATATCCACACTTTGAAACCATTACAAACATGGTTCAAATTAAAGGAGAAGCTGAAGGTTTTCTGGACGCGTTGAATAATTTTTTCTAAAAATTATTCTTAAATTTATTGCATAGTGGAAGATATATGACAAGGTTTTGAAAGACAAGATTAGGCACACGTGTGTTTGTGTTTTGTCTAATGGCTATAATCGCTTCTATTATGAATAGTTGATAAATAAAGATAATAAAAATAATAAGATTTGTTGAAAAGCGTTGGATTAGTTTCCTAACCCGTAAATCTGATTATGTTTTGTGATCTCTTCAATATGGTATATTTCTGTAATTTTGATTTCCAAATTTGTTGAGCTAATTTAGTTTTTTTTATTGTATTTTTAAAATTGAGAGAGCTTAACCTTTTTTTTAATTACCTTTCAGTTTAATCTCTTAAAATATAAATTAGATCCTAACAATTGTAATATTTTTTTTAAAGGTTTAGAATTAATATGTATAAGGTTATAAGAAGATTTGATGAAATTTTTTTCCTAGAATTTTAATAAAATTTAATTTAATAAGTTAAACTGATTGGAATTATATTAAAAAAAGTTAACTCCGAGTTAAAAAGTCAATGAAAAAACAATTTAGCATCATCTAAAATACAAACTAAAATTAAAAACCAAAAGTAAAATTTGCTGAAAAATTAAAAAAGGAACATACGTGACAAATAGCAATCGGTGATGATGTTGATTGCTGCTGACTCACACAGGCAAGCAACCAAACTATTGCTTTGTTTTTGTGTGCATGGCAATTACACATGGAACAATTCCGACATATATATACCTCACTTATTATTGACGTATTCTACTTTATCTTTTTTTTTCTATTTTAAGATTCAATCGATGAGAATAAAAATAGAAAAATACATTTATTGTAACAGATGCAGATAGCAAAAAAAAATTATAAACAAGTTAAAGACATAGGTATAGTTGAGATATATATAGAAGAATATAATATATATATATATATTTCTATTTTTCACGTCTCCTTATCACTCATATCATTATACGTCTATTTTATATTTTATTGTATGAATTTTGACTGAACTAATTGATTAATGTTTTCTCTCACCGAACCATGCAAAACAATTTTCTTTATATATATGAGCATATATATATATATAATATGATAATAAAACAAAAAGCCTAAATAAAAGATAGACATAAATTTATATAAGTATATATATATATAATATTATCTGTCAAAAAGACATTTTAAAATAATATAAAAGTAAATTCGGTGAGAATTGATCTACAGAAAATCTATTAACATTATGAAAATCTAGTATCCTTTTATATACTTTTTTTCTCTTTCTTTTAATATTTTAAAAATCTACTACATGGTAACAATTATTTGTAAAAGTAAAATAATCATGTATGCTTAAATGAGTGAATATATGATTTTAGTATCACCATAGTTTTTAAATTGAAAGATAATATATATATATAATATATATATATATATCGATATATATATAAGATATATATATCACCTATATATATATATATATATATATCTTGTGCAGTTACGGCCAGATTAGATTATATGAGGAATTTGCATGAAACTAATTGTAATCATTTCTACTGATTATTTTTTATTTTCTTTTTGAACTTTCAATGAAATTGATTTAAAATTTACCATGCCATGAGAAATGTTAAACAAGACACTAAAATTGGTAATTTCAGCTAATAATAGAGAAATTTTCAGAAATAGAGTCATAACAAATCCTGAACATCACATGTTCACAAAATGAATTATTTCCAATTAAATGTTACTTGTCTAAATCATGTTAGTTATTATTAAATCTTCCATGTAAGAGCAGATTTGGTTGGTGGATAAGCAGCAAATTTATTAATTATTAGGAGATATTAATTACACCCACCAAATCTAAAAGTAAATAATCTTCTTTTTTCGTAAATCCATTTTTTTTACTGTTTTAACGTTTAAAAAATATGTTAATTTAGCTTTAACAAGTATTTTGGTACTTTTAAAATTATGGTAATATACTAATATTTATACCTTTACACTAAAAACATTTGATTAAAATAGTTACATATTAACATCGTTGATTCAAGATTAATAACATTAGTAATGAGATAAAACTTACATATATTTAAAAAATGTTGAATACAAGAATAATAATAAAAATTTTAAGATGGTAATTTAAATGCTAACGAATTTTAGAGATTATTGTTTAGCTAAATTTCTATATATTCCAACAAGAGAATGCAACAATGAACATTGCAAAAGTTACGAAACCTAACACGTGAAATTGTGTGTACTTTGCATTTTTTCCTGTCTTGCAACTCTATGTGTTGGAAGTCCCACATCGACTAAAGATAAGGTCAATTTATAATATATAAATGAGATGCAAACTTCACCTTACAAGCCGGTTTTGTGGGGTTGAGTTAGGCTTTAAAAACCCACTTTCTAAATATGGTATTGTGAGACGAATTTTTCTACAAACATTTTAAAAAGTCAAATTAACTTAGTCCTTGTAATGATAAAAATGAACTTAAAAAAATTCTTATGATTCATCAAAAAAATTATTTTTAACTATGATTAATTTTATCTTAGCAAAAATATTTCATTATTTGTCTCTCTTTTAAAAAATTATATAAAGAAAAGTATAGACTAACTACAAATACTTCATCATTTACTACAATTTTCAACATTATTATACAAGAAAAGGCATCTAATACAGCTAAAAAATCATCATTTACCTAATGTGGCTTTATTAAAAAAAGTAAAAAACATATCTAGTACGTATGGTTTAAGAAGATCACATTGTATTTTTCAAAATATATCAAACAAACATCAAATATCTATATAGTTTCAAAATATATCTAACAAATAGAAATCTTGATAAGGATAAAATCTAAATCAGACTTTAACATCATGTTAAATGATTCTAAACTTAATTCAATTCTACAAAACTAACTTGAGATTTGCACTTACTTATATATTTTAAATTAACTTTATTTTAATCGATGTAAAATTTCTAATACATAAATTTTTTTTTTTTAAATATATTTTAGTCATTAAAAAAACATTAGGTTGGGAGTAGAAATTGTGTGTGAGTGAGGGTGACAAAAAAATCCTGCACCCAGTTATGGTTCCCAACATTTACCAGGCTCCCATGTAGGAAGTGATGATGGTACTTCAATCTCACCATCCTATAAATGCTCTCAAACAACATTCCACTGTTCCTATTGTTTTCTTTTTTCCTTAAACATTAAGCTTTTCTTTCCCTTCATGTTCACCCCAAATTTGGGCACATAACTTATACAAATATATCAACATTCTTCAACACTCAAGACTAATTAACCCTTAACTCTAAAGACAAAAATAATATAAATATATATATATGATATGATAATATATATATATATATATACTATATATAGTTACAATGCTTGAAGATGAATTCCACTATTTACTCTTGTATCTTTAAGACATGAGTGAAAGATGAGGAAAAATACCTTAAAAGGAAAGCAAAGTGAGAAACTTCACTTTAGTAATAAGTAACTATGCACCACTTAAAATGCATAGATATAACAACCAAACTAAATTATTACAAACGTTTATATTCATATATAGAAAACAATTAATTAGCGTAATTAATTAAGGACATTTGTGTCTTCCACCATGAGAGTCAAATTTGCATAGCATGGACATCTCATAGTGACCACTAGTACCGAAGGCACACAATTGCATCTTTCACAACAAGTTCCACATGCCCTTTTACATAGATTTGGTCTTGATGATATTGACACCTTCTATTGCATTCACCATCACAATCTACGTAACATAAAAAAAAAGAAAAAAAGTTCTTAAAACATCGTCTATGTAACATCAAAGGTTAGACTTTAGTGTTTACTCAAAGAACTTGTACCTATGGTTGGAGGTGAAGAAGGGCTGGGACTTGGGTTGTTCTAATGGGTTCTTGATAATAACCTGCGATGTTTAAGAAAACAAAACATCATGCTAATTTTGAAGATTGGTCGGGAAAAAAAAGACATAGAGAAGCAAAATTTCAACATATATATAATATGCTTTGTATGAAATTGAAAGAAGATTATAACCCTGATGTATATATATTAATAGAAAAAGTTAAGTTTACCATTGTATCCGATTCCACGAGAATTACAATGATTTGAGAAATGAGAATTGAAAATAGAAGAGCCTTGAAAATGGCCATGAAGGTGAGTTTTGAAGATGAGAATGAAAAAGGTTTTGAGTTGCTAGTGAAC